GGAAATACGAGCGTACTTGATTCATGGTACAACCCATAAGGACAATTCATCATGTAAGTTCAATAGTGTTTCCAAACTCATCAAATCAACTATTTAATCCTCAGTCATTGAGGTTACTTTGTTCGTTTAGTAAGCAAGTCTATCCCTGTTACTTTAGAGTTTTCCAGAATAATTCAGACGTTTCTGAATTTCAAATACATGTTGTACTTCCTTTCAGTTCAATTTAGGCATATACTAAAATCGTTTTGCTATTCGTGATTGATTTATCTCACAAATAGCCACTTCTTAATATCGAATGCGCTCTAGCGTTGAGTTGAACTGAGTACTTCCATAATTATCATAAATCCAAACTTGGGGAAATGAACTAGCATTCAAGTGGTACATATGCCATTCAAGTACTGATATAACACTTGCATTGTTTGACCGGCTTAAGTTGTGTTCCATAATCTTTAAGAGCAGTACAACATCCATGTTTATTTGAATTTCTTAAATAATCCAAGACATTTACTTAGTCTAGGACATAAGGGTATTTTGGTCTTTTTTTATGCTCAATGATCTTCTATTCATTTCAAAGCTTGAGGATATCTATTCAGTCCTGGCTTGGTGAATTCTTTAATCATTTCTATTACAGGGGTATTATGGTTATCTCACAGATCTAGAATATTTCAATCATTTCCTTCCGTCGGGTCTTATTATTTAATTCAAACTTATCATTTATTTCAATCCCTTCGAATTATTCCGACAAAATATCACCATCGATAAATTATTATTCTTCATGTACTTACTCAAGTCGGAGATTTCCAGGTTAAATGCCTTCTCAGATGTTACTAACGGATTATCAGAATTTTCCATTCAAAAATAAGATTTCAACAATCAAATAAGTAATTTATCGATTTAAAAACAAATTCTCATGTTACGTCCTCATTCAGAGTCAACTTGGACTATTTTTACCTCTCAATGGCATTTTCGTAATTTTGTAACCGGATAATTTCGGTATTAACTCTTAACGAAAATAGTTATACTTTAAAGATCCTATGGTCAATTACTTTCTTGAACATTCTTTGATCTTGAAATTATTCCTTAACAAACTTTTAGCATCTTGCGCAAACCTTTTTTAGCGTTAAAAACCAGTTATCCAAATTTTCTAAACAAAACTATTATTTCTTATTCACATCTGTAATTATATCATATCAATATGCCTTTTCAGAGTTATTATCCAACTTCCAGGGACAATTCTTGTCATCCTACAACATAAGGGTATTTTCGTAATTTTACCCTACCGAAGTATTCTCATAATTTCCCATCCAAGTACCTTTAACATTTAACCTTTGATGATATAAAATATATGTTACAAATTCAAGGCTGATTTCTTTATCACCAATCACAAACTTGTAATTTAATTCTAACAATTCCTCAATCTCTTATATTAGTCATTCGGTCCGTATTTAGTTACCGAAATTATACCACATTCATATCGAGTGTATAAATTATTTAACACCACAAAAGTTATCAACATTATCATATTCATGCATTTACCAATATCAACATGTTTCATAAAGCATAAAGAGGTAGTAAAATATTACCTCGATTTTCGTATCGTACTGATCAACCATAAAAATTCCATTCGAACTCCCCCAATCTTGAAATCATCTTCCAATAATTCCTCAGATACATATCAGCATAAATTACATAAAAAAAAAACAGAGCTTAATTCCGAAAAACAGATCGAATCGGGTGATAAATCAGTCAAAAACAGCTTACCGGGTTCGAGTTTGGCGAAACGGACCCCAAAAATAGATTCGGGACGTCAAAACATAAAAGATGACTTTTCGGTCAAAATCAAAGTAAACGGGTTTGACTGGCAATTTCAAGGCCTTCATGTCTGAATTTTAAAAACGGACTGCGGAATCGGATTTGGAACGTCGAAAAACTTCAGGATAGGTATACTCGGTCAAAGTCAAAGGTCGTTTAATGCCCGGTCAACACCGATCAAAGTTATGGTCAACTGTGGTCAACGGTTAACATTCGACCATTTTACATAAATATCACTCTAACATAAATTAATTACAAAATTAGCCATCTTCTGCAAATATTTACAAAACTAACACCCGAATTTTACACAAATAACACCCAAACAGAAATTAGTTACAAAATTAACACCCAGACGATGCCAACTCTTGGGGGTGGCGCGTGCGACGCGTGAACAGTAACACGGTGTCGGAAAATTCCTAAAAATTATTTTAAGGCATTTTGAAATACTTACCAAGCTCGGTTCACAATTTTGAACGGCGGAGAGCTCGATTCCGAAACGTCGGAAACTTTGATGGTCTCACCCCTCTATGCGCTGGCGACGACGGAGAAACGGAAGACACCGGTAGACTCGGAACGATGCAAGGAACACAATGGTGCGGGAGGTGTCGTAAACGGATGATCGGATCGTCGTGAATCGACGAAAAACCAACTGAAATCGAGTTATTACCGACGATTCTTTCGACTGAAATTAACGACGAACGACGATGATTCACAACGAAAGGTTTGAAGGGTTTTATTCCTCGGTTAATAACGAACATGATGGTGGTTTCGGTTCATCGATCGGAGGTCATACGGTGAGTAGATCTGAATTGAAAGGAGGGTTGTTAGAGAAGGAAAAACTGGAAAATATGAGAACGTGCGCGCGGGAGAGGTTTATAATTCAACTCATAATAAAAATGGTTAAACCATGAGTTTAGCCACTAAATTTCCTACACTTTATAAAACGGTCTACAAACTTTACGATTTTACAATTTAATCCTCAACTTCTTCTAAAAATACCAATTAAATTTTCCGCTTTATAATTTCTTAAATTTAACCCCTAAATTAAGATGTTACAAAGTAAAAACCATATTTTTTGGGGTAAAATATAGTAATGGTCACTGAACTTTTCTAAAGCTTTCATTTAGGAGCCCCAACTTTTAAAATTTATAATACAATCCTCCAACATTTAGTCCATTTGCAATATGGTCCCCGATGTAACTGGTCGTTCGACGCCGTTACACTGCCGTTAGTATATTTTTAATATAGTCACTGAACTTTTCATGCTCTTGTATTTAGGTCCCACAACTTTTAAAACGTGCAACACAGTCGTCAATACTAATTGTAAATAGACTAAATGTTGGAGGACTATATTGCAAGTTTTAAAAGTTGGGGATCTAATTGAAAGCTTTAGAAAAGTTCAATGACCATTACTATACTTTACCCCTTTTTTTGCTCTCAATTTCAAAGGAATCCGAAGCAAAAGTAAATAAGCATCAAACAAGTAATTAGAACCCGGAAAACAAGAACAATTTTTTACCTTAAATTTGTTTTCCCCTATTAATGCTATTAACGCTGCAGATGTTAAACATCTCCTCAATACTAATTATGACCCACAATCAAAAGGTTTATCAATGATACAGATTAGCAATTTAATCAATAAACAAACTTTCCCCACAATTGTCATGCAAATTTCAAAGCTGAATCCAATAGTTGGACAACAAACGCAATTGATTTCCGAACAATTACGATATAGCACCCAATTGAATATCACGGCAAGCAATCAAATTATAAAAATTGAAACTTCAATGCTCGATTATGAATAGTAAATAACACTGTAATAATCACAATTAATAACCCTTAATTATAGGATTAGAATTTATAAGAACAACACCAAAATTTTATACGAAATTTTTAATCCTTTCAAACATAAACTTTAAAACCTATTGATTCTCAATGATTCAACATGACAACGCAATGATACCACTTATTAGAATCAAATCATAATAAATATGAAAACAACCGGATATAGTCATGCTAAATCATCAAGAATAAAATAAACTAGATTTTTTAAATCGTATCTGAATCCATTGTTGAATATTATCCAGAAGGTTGAGATCTTGAAGATTGTCTTGGTTGTGATCTTCCAAGAGAATTAAACATAAACTCTCTGACGGGATAAGAGAAAATACGAGATGATTTATTTTTTGGACCATAACCCTATCAGTTATTGTTTGTACTTACAATTATGCCTCTCATTGGATTATAAATACAACTTTAATGATATCTACACTTTTATTTCCATGACACTTCTAATATTTTATGACTTTATAACATAATTGATCACTCAATTTATGTCATATTTTATGATAATAATATACATTAAAAATATAGATTCATAATTATGGATTTTAATCCAATATTCAAAGCACAAAGTACGGGTTGTATTGATCGTCAAATAATCTTGTCACTATGACACAGTTTTGCTACACATGTACTTTGATAAGTCGATCTCCAGCGCATCGCTGGAGTGGCGAAGATCTCCACTTTTGAGATGATCCTATGCTCCAGCCCATCGCCACTTTGTAGTTGCATTGTGGCGACTGCTAATTTTTTTTGTAATTTTTTTGTTTTTGTTATTATATGTAGAGATAGTTCTAGAGATGAATTATTGTTTCATCTTTAGAGTAGAGATAGAGATGTTTTATAATAGAGATGAGGGCTGGAGATGACCTAAGGCAGCCAGCAGAACTTATTCAATCATATAATTGGTTAATATTCATTAATGAAAGGCTTTTACCAGCAACTTCTTGTTTTATAGTGTAATCCAATTATCCAATTACTGTAATAATCTGGTGGACTCACCTGGTTTAATAGTATTGTAAAAAATGATTAAATTAATAAAAGAATAATATAAAAATTTAGATGTACTAAATTATTTTAAATTGTGGTTAAATTAATAAAATATATAAATAATGAAATTATTATTATATAAAGCTAAATTTGTTTTAATTTTATCGATGAAGTAACATGTTTGTAATAATATTACAATCGAGACACTAAATTGTAACTTCTAAACAAGTGATCCGTTTGTAATTTGATTAATAGTTGACTGATTTAGAATGTAGTTTGCCCAAAATATTATGCAGATTCGCCGACTCGGGTTAAAATGGACTAACGAGGGCACTCTGCTTTACTTAGCTCGCCTATCCTACTCCTTCCAACTACAACAGGGCAGCATAGCCAAAAGCATAAACAATAGAATCACCGAGTTTCCCAACTCAGTCCGTGTGCCAGTGACAAACATGGCTCTAAAATTCTCGTTACTTACCCGTAGATTCACTCACGTGTACCGTTTCACGAGTTTTTCTTCAAAAACCTTGTGCCTTTCTGCGGCCGGCACTAGGTTCCCCGTCAGAGAGTCCAAGGGCTGTTCCTATCCATGTGTTTCCAGGTCCAGTCATCGAGCTGTGTTTAATGAATGGGGTGCTCGCAAAACGGGAGCAGCTGGGCTGGTGGGTTTCGATTATTTACGGGTTTCAGCAGTTTCGGACGGCGGGTCCCGTGGAAGCGGTGGGTTTGGAGGCTCCGGTGATGGGAATTCTGGTGGAAAAGGTGAAGGCGCCGATGGTAGTGGAGGAGGTGGCGGTTGTTCCTTTCTTTCATGGTAGTTAACTAAAGCCCTGCCTTCTTTTTCTTTTTTCTTTTTTTTTTTAAAAGGTATAAATATCATTTCGCAATCTCCTTTTCTCTTCTTCAAATTGATGGATGTTTGGATACTATCATCTGAACTCATAAGTGCCTAAAGTCATTATTGGGTTTGCCTAAGTTTAGATACACATATAGGAGTATAAATAAAATCTGAATATTTACTTAATAAATGAACGAGAATAAATGTGTTTTTGATTTGTTTATATTGACGAACAAATTCATTTGAAATCTAGTTTATTGACTAGTTTATAAGCTCCTTTACCTAGTTATTTTTATTTTTGTTTTTACATTTTAAATATTGTTGAAGGTAATGAATTTTGGAGTTCTATTGTGGAGCTTAAGGAGCCTAAGTTTTATTTAATTGCTTTTGTTTTATTTAATTTTGTTTGTTTGTTTAGTTAACATTTTTGAACATATAAATAAATATGTTGACGAACATCAAACGGACCAAAAATGAACACATTCTAAAATAAACAAACAAACACGAACGAGATATTAAAAATTTAAACAAACACGAACCGAATATGAACACCTTGAAAAATAAACAAACAATCGTTCAAACCCAAATCATTTACCCCCTTATACAGGTACATACACAAGACTCCGGTTGCCTATGTATATGATTTAGGACACTTGGCGAGTAGATTTTATATTCTGTTATATTCTCTGTTAGATTTGAGTTCTTCAAATATTGGCTTATGCTAATTGCTTCGAGGTATGATACTCTGTCATTTATGAATAATTTTCAATGGTTTCTTAGAACATTTACTTCTTGTGAATGCCGGTCGAGCAATGTGTTTGTTATGGTGTTATGGAACCTTTTTCTGGACTAGTATGCTAAAGTATTTATTTTTGTAATGTGCTGTGCATTCCCCCCTCGAATTTGATTTGCTAAAGTTATTTAATAGGTATTTGGGTCTTCTAGCAAAACATCCTGTGTTGACAAAAGCTGTGACATCTGCACTTTTGACTCTCGTTGGCGATTTGATTTGCCAGGTACGTTTCTTCTATGTTCCATTTAGAATGTCAATGCACTATGAGTAATCTCCTCCTTCCTGGTTTTCCATCTGGTTTTCTAATTGCACTTGATTTTCTTTTCTTTTTTAACAAACAAAATGGTTGCTTTTCTTTTTTCAATCCGAAGTGCAATATTTGTCCAAAATAACGAATTATCGACAGGCAGTACGGTACTTGTGCTTTCAAAGCCTGAAATGACAATGAGGGTTTGATGATTTATAAAGATGAAATAGAATATCTATTTCTTTTTTCAATGATTCAATCTATTTCGGTTGTGTTCATATGATTTCGGTTTTGTAACAAATGACAAGTTTAACAGTTTGATAAGAGTTAAAGCCAAAAATTACAGAATTATAGCCGGCTGCAATAATCTAAAAGGATTTATCTCCTGTTTTGTTCTTCTTTCGAAACATTAAGAACACTGCAATTGGCTCATAATTGAGGATGTATGTGACCTTAAGCTAGTCCTAATGCCAAAGCTTTCCTTTTGATGTCCAGTCATGGAAGTTCAGTTGGGAACTTCGGTAGGCTCGTTTCTTTTCAGTCTCGGGTTTTATGTCGGTTTTCGAAAATTAAATAGTTCAAGTCGAAGATCTTTAGTTGGCTTTTCCTTGTTTTATTGTATTCTTTAGGGTGCGTTTTGTTCACGGAATATAAGATTATCAGTGGGAATGGGATTACCGGTGGGAATAAGATTACTGTGAATGTTGTATTTTGTGTTTGGTTGGTTTAGCAGGAATGTAAGATTACCGTGTTTGGTTAAAGGAATAAAAGATTATTGGAATGTATATTTTACCAAATTGTCCTTATTATATATATTTGTTTTTTTAACAAGTTGAATTCTAATATAATTTTACTATAATTAATTTATATATTTTCTTTAAAAATTTTAAATTCATAAAATTTATATAATTTTTTTTACAAAATTGAAAAGATAAATAGGTTTAATGAAAGAGTAAAATTTTATTTTAACCCCTGAACTTCATATAAAATTCTAATTATAGATTTTTTTTGTAAATCTAAAATAGTTTAAGGATAAATTTGTAATTTAACATTCGTATAATTTTTTTTATTCAACGACGGAATAAGGATATTTTTGAAAAAAAAAAATATTTTTAAGGGCATTTTAGTCCAAAACGCCGGCAATCCAATAATACCTAAGGAAAGGGGTAATCACATTCCCGGTAATATACCACCAAAATATCACTGTTGGTAATAAAAGATTATCGGGGGCTGGGAATGTTGGCCAACCAAACGGGGGAATGAGATTCCATTCCCCAGTAATCTCAGATTACCTGAACCAAACACCCCCTTATTGTTAAGGCATTTGTAGTTTGCTATTTTCCAGTTATAAATCTCTTGGTTTAACCATCGATTATTGTATCTTCTATTATTAATGCAATGTTAGGCATGACTTAACTTCGAAAATCTTGACTTCAGCTTGCGATTGACCGAGTGCCGTCCCTCGACTTGAAAAGGACATTTATATTTACTCTACTGGGTTTGGTGTTAGTAGGTCCTTCATTGCACTTCTGGTAAGCTTCATGATCAGTTCTGTGTGTTTAAATTGGTTATATGCTTATAGTTGTTTTGTTCACTCGCCTACTTGATTCTTCAGCGAATCTCTAGTTCTTTGTTGTGTTTTATTAATGGTTTGTTAGTTTCTGAATTCCAATCTTTGCTTGCTTTCTAAAATCCGATGTCTTCATAAGCGAACGACTTGTATCCTTGGGATTACGCATCATATGCAAAATTCTCTACTATTTATTATGTTTCTGGACTGTTCATGATGGAGCCATGCTTATTGTTATACTATACGGAGTAGAAATTTAACTAATGTCGAAAATAACAAGAATACAAGAGAATTGTGCTATGTGCGGATTTAAGGCTTAATTGACTAACTTCTAATTCTTATCCTCAATATATAATCATGCTTATTGTTATCCTTAATATCTATCTATAATTACTTTATTAAAGAGGAAACTTGCATAGCAAGAAATATACTCCAACCAGGTTTTCTAGTCTTGATTAATGTTTAATAATAGAAGTATAGTCCTGTACGGATTCAATATGTGCGGCAATGTCCATACCACTACGGATACCCTATTTTTTCTCTCTATTTTATTTCTTTCACCTAGTGAGATGCAACACGAACTTTTCGTGCCAGATCTAACAGTATTCGGGTCATAAAAATCTAATACTTATTTTAGTTTAAAATGATTTTTTTTGCACGTGAGATTATATTTCCTTTTTCTTATATACACATGGTAATTTTGCAGGTATTTAAATCTAAGTAACTTCGTTAAATTACCTGGAGCATCAGGTGCTTTCTTGCGGCTTTTGCTGGATCAGGTGAACTATCTTTCTTACTAAATCTGTAGAAAATTTCTATTAGTTCAATCAGTTTAAGAGTTTATGCTAATTTTATGCAACACATTGCAGTTTATTTTTGCTCCTATCTTTATCGGAGTTTTCTTATCGACGTTGACGGCACTGGAAGGAAGGCCGTCGCAAGTTGTACCCAAACTTCAACAGGTTATCTTAATTGATGGGCACATCTCTAACCTTAAAACATTCATGCATTGTTTATATCGATTTTCCCTACTTTGCATTCTCTCTCTCACATTCATAGAAAACTTGACCCTGTAGGAGTGGTTTTCTGCTGTTGTCGCGAATTGGCAGCTATGGATACCTTTCCAGTTTCTTAACTTTCGGTTTGTCCCACAACAGTTCCAGGTAATCTTTTTTTTTTTTAATTCATCGGAATTTATTGCTATTATCATTTTAACCTCGTTTGGATGATTTAGAATTTGTGAAGTGAGGAAGAAAAAGCTTCCTACCAGGTTATTTTATCACTAGTGTTGAATACAAACTCGATAGGGTTATTAACTCGCAACATAACGTGCATAAGGGTGTTCAAACGGTCGGTTTGGTTAACCGATCAAACTGAACTATCTAAAATTCATTAACCAAATTCTTTTTCCTTTTTAACCGTTCACCGAACCAAATTTTTTAATTGAACCGAACAAAGTTAGGTTAATTCAGTATGTTCACCGAATTAACAAAAATTTATAAATAATATATATTATATATTTAATATTTTTTGGTTAAAACTGAAGTTTAAACACTCCTAAGGCTAAGTAATATATTAAACATTTAATAATTTTGTTAATTCAGTTAATTAATTGATTTCGAACCGATAACCTAAACTTGGAAAAATCATTAACTGTTAACCAACCGAACCTAAAACTAACCGACTAATTAACTGAAAAAAAACTTTGGTTCAGTCAGTCAATTCGGTTAAAACCGAACTTTGAACACCCCTAAACGTGCAGTTTTGTATGGTCTGAGATTTTTATAACTCGATATTGACATGATTAGCCTGTTAAATATGTAGAACATAACATCAACCTACTAAAATGCTTGTATTATTTGTGGTAGCATTTAGTTCTGTGTTAGAAGAGAACTTTTTAAGCAGTTTTGATATTAAGCATAGGAGGGGTAAAACAATTAGACATCTTGACTCGAAATGCCGGATCCTATCTGAAAAGTCAATGACTTGTCCAAAATGAATTGTTTTACACCTCATATGCTCGTATCGAGATTGTTATTTTTTAAACAATACATAGGATTAATGTGCTAATTATACTGACTAATGTTAGTGGTTTCAGTACAGAAACTACGAAAAAAATTTCTCGATGTGTTCGGTTCATTCGGGTTTGTTCTCATGATATGGGATGTGTTCGGTTCATTCGGGTTTGTTCTCATGATATGGGGGTAGTATTCACATTGTCCTAAAACAACTTTGTACTCATTTTGATCTTGATGGTCCCGCGAAGCCGAATGTATTGATTTGTCATATGCTTGTTTGTTATCTTGGTTTGGGTTCTTTATTTGCTTGATTCATTCCCATAACCTATTTTCTACATTTGCTTTATGGTAAGAATTAAAAGGATGAAGTGCATCAGAAGCCACTGAACTATGTTCAAATGATTGTTTTAGTCACTAAACTTTCAAAAGTTACAAAATGATCATTAAATTTATCGAACGTTTACACTTTAGTATAATGTTGCAGTAATCATTTTTGTTATAGTTTGATCAATTTAATGATCATTTTGTAATTTTTGAAAGTTCAGTGGCCTTTGGTGCACTTGAATTAAAAACCAGAGGTGGGTAATGCTTGACAAACAACTCTTTTTTGGACGGTCTATTTCCTTTACGAGGTCTAACTGCATCGTCGATGGTTCGATACTTTTCAGGTCCTTGCTGCGAATTTCATTGCTGTAGTTTGGAATGTGATTCTCTCATTTAAAGCTCACAAAGAGATACTAACCAGGTAAATGATTGCTTGAGTTCCAAGTTCAATAATTGTATTGGTTGTGATGATAGAATGCATGCATGAGTTGGTTGATTTCATTCAGTTGTGTTATAATTTTTCAGATAATGATTTGGATTACACTCTTTTGTAATGTTTACTAAATTCAATTATCCTAGGATTGTCTTTACTTGGCAAGTTATTTCGATTCAGATATTCAGATAAAGAAAAAATTGAATTTGATTTAGTCATTACTGAGTTACGCTCGAGTAATTCAAGTTATCAAGCAAGTCTGGTTAAGCATTCTAAAGTTTGATTCGAGTAGTTTACGATCGAGGTTCTTTAATATAAATCTTATTAGTATTAAAAACCAACTCAAACTCGAGTATACTTACTTGAGTTTGAAGTTAAATATGAGAATTGAACTTAAATTTTATTAGAAGTGAACGTCTAAACAAGTTTAGTCGAGTCGAGTCGAATTTTAAGTATACATACTTGAGTTTGAAGTTAAATATGAGAATTGAACTTAAATTTTATTAGAAGTGAATGTCTAAACAAGTATAGTCGAGTTGAGTCTAATTTTAAGTATACATACTTGAGTTTGAAGTTAAATATGAGGATTGAACTTAATTTTTTAGAAGTGAATTTGTGTACGTGTATAGTCTAGTCGAATTTAATGGCTTTTAGTAGTTTGATTTTTATTTATGAACTTGATTGAATTTGAATTGAAATTCAAGTTACCAATAAAAAATCATTAAAACTAAAACATTCAGGTTAATATAATTTTTTGAATAAATTAGATTGAATGTAAAATGCTTAATGATATAAAAATAGCTTTAAAATTTTAGTGTTATATATTTAAAATAAGTTTTAGAAACTAATTTTATATCCTATATGTGTTATAAAAAATCATAATGACAAAAAAAATGTTCTTGATGTTTGGATTAAATATTCGTTTTAATATTTATTTTTTCTCCTTTTTGAAGTACTTTGGTCGTCAATGTTTTATTTAAGGTAAAAGGATTGTATGAAAACTGCTAATTAACAAATGATCAACGTTCTATAATATAAACTTTTTTTACTCTGAAAATGTAACATTGAGGGGGTTAAATGCTCTAAAAAAGAATAAGATTAAAATATTTAGAAATTTATGAATAAAAATAATCATTTAGTCAAGTATTTTTCGATATTATGTCTATAAAAAATAGATATGTTATTCAATGATAAGGTTAAGACGTTGAGATATTTAACTTTTATGTTCAAATCCCATCATGTAGTACGTAGGTCAAGATATATTTGTTTTATAATGATTTTATCTAAACATATTTTTTTTTATCTCAAGGGTGTATAATACTTTTAAAACTTGGGGGGGGGGGTTACGCTCCTAATATTTTGTATCTAGTTAGTTAAGCGTTGGAATCTAGAAATTGAATCAATTAAGGTTTTTAATTAATTTTGATATATAAATTTTAACAATATTTTGATATATTATTATCATGTGGTACATTGTAATTAGGGATGAATATGAGATTTGAATCCAACCAGTTTTCATCTAATTTGATCTAATAAGGTTGAGTCATATTTTTTAAGGATAAAGCCGAGTTCAGTTGAGTTTAGGTGAATTTTTTTTATCTAACCTAAGATAGTATAATTATCCACGTATATCTAGAAATAATTACAATAATACTCTCCTCTCTTTATATTTTCTAAATTAGATTTATAATGTATTTAATAAAAGAAATACATGAGTGTGTGTTGGATCAGGTGTGAATTTTTATTTAAAAATCATATCAGATGGATTTTTTCTAAATTTGAATCATATTTTTACTTGACAATATCGTGATATTATCAAATAATCTAAAAACAATTATTAGATTTAACAATCAACGTTAACTGAAGAAGTGAAATAATAAAATTTTGAAATATAAAAATTTAATTGGATGTAAAAAAACAAAAAAACAAAAACTAAATTGTAACATAAAGAAATTATTTGAAAAAAATATATATTTAATAATTACAAATAAAATAATTCAGAAAAGGAAATAAATAAAGAATTGCTATGCATGAAGGCCTGTTTCAGGCTTCAGCATTGATTTACACCTAAATCGTTATTCATTCGTCAACCTGGGAAATCAGAAAATACATAAACAAAATTAATTTTTTTTAAAGAAAAATAACAGTAAGGAGAGAAGGAAACGAGTTGAAGCATTCAGTGTGTTCGATCATTTTTTTTATTTCTTGAATTTCGATTTATTTGTTTGATTTCGATGTAGCCTTGCAAAAGCCCAAATCAGACGCAAGAAAGAACGAAAGAAACAGTTCGTTTTTTATTAGATTGCTGTTGGTTTTGGAGGGGCAATCAAAATTTGGATGAATTGCAGCAGATGATGATTTGTTGTTGCTCTCTGAATCTGAGAGATGCGATTCAAGCTTGTCTTCATGATTGTGATAAGCTTCTGTATGTGGCAGTCATCCTCATTTACATCCAAGTAATTCCACTTCCTCCGTGTGTATTCTAACCCTAATTTACCATTTGTCGGGTTGCTTTATGCATAATCTTTTTTTTATTGATTCAGATTGGGTGCGCCTTGACCGGATCCCTCGGCGCATTGTACAACGGTGTGTTGTTGGCCAATTTGGGCATAGCCTTTTTCGCTTTGGTCGCAATCGAGAGTGGCAGTCAAAGCTTAGGCCGAGCTTACGCCGTTTTGCTCTTTTGCGCCATTTTGCTCGACATTTCATGGTTCGTCCTCTTCGCCCACGATATTTGGAACATGTCGAAAGAGAGCAACGGCGATGGGGAAGGAGAAGGGGAGAGTCGCGGAATGTTGTTCATTTTCTCGGTAAGATTAACGCTTGCGATGGAGATAGTGGGGTGTTTCGTGAGACTATGGTTTTCTCTCTTGTGGTTTCAAATATATAGGTTTGGGGTTTCGTATGTAAGCGGTGGTGCCGATATAAGAGACCCTGATTTTGATTTGAGAAATGGATTTTTAACCCCTTCAACTCCCTCAAATGCCTTACTTAGACAGTGCCCTCAAAATGAATCCGATGAAGCTTTAGGAGGCGCCATTTATGATCCTCCTTATTACTCTTCTCTCTTTGAGGATCGTCAGCAACACAATAGAATTTTTCTTCTGGTATAGATGTAGCTCATTTGTTATTCCATACCTATTGCTTTTTGTCCTCATTTTTAATTTTCGTTTTTGCAGGATCATGATGGAATTGGTGGAAGTGGATCTGCTCCTGATGCTGAAACTTCTCTCCTAAAGCCATCACCTGTTACGACTATTCAGGTTATCGATGTAAGCATCTATCCGTTCTTTTCCTTCGACTTTCCGATTTACACTTTTTTTTTTCCTTTTAGCAATAGGTCCAGTAGCTCTTACAGACTGCTCAATTAAGAAATAAGTCACTCTGACTTTTATGTGGATTTTGATTTTGATTTTGATTTATATAGTAATATAATATGGGGGTCATTTAGTTGTTTGGCTAATGTTTATATAGGGAAGCTTTCTGCTTATTTGGTGATATTTGTTGAAATTTATTGGCATTACCTACCTTGATTGTCAACTTCAAAAAGGAACTAGATTTTGATTACCAATAATGCAAATGAAATTTCAGATTCTGGCCTATATCTGATATGATTTCACTGTTTTTTTTTCTTTTCATTTCTCTGGTAAAAGTGCTTTACTTTTCTTTTTGGCTCTATCCTACATAAGTTTAGAGTGTTGTGTTTCTGGTGATTGTGCTTCTTTTATCCTATTTGTAATGTATGGTTTATTCTTTCATTTTCTTAGGGTAAAGTACACCAGAGGTCACTGAACTAAACTAAAATGATTGTTTTGGTCATTGAACTTTTAAAAGATACAAAATGGTCATTAAGTTTTATTGAAATACAAAATGATCATTAAATTTCTTGAACTTTTGCAATTAATTATAAATTTATAATGTCGCAATGAACGTTTTATAACAATTCAAAAATCCAATGACCATTTTGTAACTTTTGAAAGTTCAGTGACCAAAATGATCATTTTAGCATAGTTCAATGACCTCTGGTGTACTTTACCATTTTTAATGGCTTATTTAATCCCTTCATCTGATCTCTATTTTGCATCAGGAGAAACCAAAAAGTAAATAAATCAATTAATAAACATCCAGTGCTCGTAACCTATCACTAGTATTTCTCCATTCCCTATTCAGGACTGAAAAAGTGAAAATGTATTATAGGAGAGATATATTGAAAAAGCTATAATTAAAGTATGTATCTCTAACCGGTTGAAAAAGTCTTCAAGTTTGGAAGGCAGTGAGTTACTTGCATGGGTTCTGCTTTTCTTGTCCGTTTTCCATGGATCTGTTGTCTACGACATTGGTGTCCTTAAACCTATTTCTTCATCAACTTGGATATGGAAGCTGTTAATAGCATTCTTCATCTCTTCATAGCATACTTAATGTGGGTTTTCTGTGCTACTTATTGGTTTATAGTTAGTATTATATTTTCCCAATTACCAGTCGATCACCCTGTTCGGTGCCTTTGCCTTCTGAACTCAACCACTACAGGAGGAGAATGCTACAAAATTGCCTCAGTGTTTGAATCTGAGCACGATATCCGTGAAAAATTGAGTTTATCATTATCACTTTGCTTAAATTTTTTTCGGCTTGGTGGGAGTGGGATTTGTACAGGTTCCTACTTTGTCATTCTTTCGGCAGGGTGTAGCTGAAGGGCTTCGAGTTAGAAAGAAAAAAGCGGCGAACGGTGTGTTGAAACCCTGTAAGAAAGAGTCGTTTATATAATTGAGATAAGTAGTGACTTGGTTATATAGAGATATGATGGTGGTAGAAGCCAAGGTTGGTCTCTTAGCTAAGAGGTGTAGAGTTGTAAATGAGATGTAACAGTCAGGATTGTGCCGTCTTTGCTGTTTTGGGCAATTTTGCTAAACATTCTTCAACTTCTTTGGAATCCAAAAACCCATTCCATTTTTATTTTTCATGTACTGAACTAATCTATCGAGTTTAAAATGAGGTTGTGGAATTGTTTATTTAATGGCGACTTGTCCTATTAACATTAATTTTGCTTTTATCACTTTCCGGATTAACCCAAAGGAAAGTAATGAAACCACGTTTGCCTAATGCAGCCGTCCATCTAATGCCATGGAGCTGGAAACTGTAATGGGAGGCGAGCCTTTAAAACTTTTAAAATTTATATAATTTAAATATTTTCTTTGTATTCTCAATTGATAATCGATTTTCATCTCTTAAAATTTTAATAATTTATCTCCTCTTAAAATTTTAGAATTTGTCTTCCTAGCATATTTTCATGCCTTTGTTCTTGGCAACCGGATCTATCAAACTTGAAACAGTCTGTTTGTATTTTGCTAAATTTAGAATTTAAAAGTGTTCAATCGATTAATTTGATCAATAGTCAAACCTTTGAAAAGATCAGATCATAAGAATAATTTTATATATTAAATTATTAAAGCATTCTCATTTATTTGTTATATTTTTTATTTTTAACAAAAAAATAAAGATTTTAACTGTGTATACTACTTTTTAACATCAGTATTAAATATTTTAAATCAACAAAATAAATTTTTTTAAAATTATAAACATACTTCAGCTGGATAATAATGCATAGGTCGGGTTCTGTATTACTTTTAAACTAAAATAACATGCGTAATTTTCAACTTTTCATATCGAAAGTGTTTCTCAAATCTTTTGAAAAGTCTAAAGCAATCATTTTATTTGTAAATATTTTGACAATAATGTTTAATATTTAAATTTAAAAATTATAAATTATTAAATTTGAATGAATTAGATAATTCATTATATTTTATTTATTATATAATTTGAAATTTTAACTATATTAACATATTTAAAATTATATCCAGAACTAAAAAATCATATTAATTAATTTAATAAAATAATATTTCGAATAAATAACATATCACAATATATGTATAAAAATAATATCAATGAATCTAGACATAACATAAATTAATATATTTTAAATTTTACAACATAATATCAAACAAAAAAAAAGTTATCTTTTTTAAAATATTTTTTTTACAATAATCCTAAACATTTAAATTTTAAATCAAACTTTTTAAGAATATTTTTTAAAAAATAATATTTTTCTCAAAATAATTCAAAACTAACCCTAGGTAGACCTGTAAATGAACTGAACGTTCAACGAACTGTTCATGAACCGTGCGGCGGGAAGTTCGTTTATGTGCGTTTATTTATTAAATGAACGAAAATGAACAAGATTTTGTGTTCGTTTAATTAAATGAACGAACATGAACATAGGTCTCGTTCGTTCATTTACGTCAGTGAACATTCGGTTATGTTCGTTTATGTTCATTCATTTATGTTTAACCCAATCTTCTTAAATCAATTTTGGTTACCAATTTGTAAGTATCTTAAAAATATTAATTAATCTGATATTCTGATGACTAATTTTATAATTAACCCAATTTTATTTGGAGATTAAATCTAATATGTTAACCTGTGAGGCACCTCGCACCTATATTCATTCTCCTTTTTTTCCCCAAACCCTAGTATTCACTAGTGAGTGGAGACAATCGTTGAAAGTTTCAAAACAAGTTATATTATAGTGCAATATGAAGTTGTATAGGTATGTTTTCATCTCTTTCTCTGTTTTATTTGGCTTATTAGTTTATATGTAAAGTTATTGCGAGTATCTTCCCATCTAAAACTCAAGAAAACATCATACTGATTTCTAGAAATAGATGGGAAGATAAAGGTAACAATCGAAAGTATATGAGCATCAATAAAGAGAAAAATATATAGAATTTGCCAGAAAACAAAACAAAGGTTTTTATGCAATTTCTGCAAAAGAGTGTAATAGCGGAAGTAATAGGTTTCTAGGAAGAACCCATTAATAAGTAGAAAATACACTTTGACAATTAACTTTTGTTTTCACAATTCTTGTGTGGCTTTTAGTTGGAGTAGACTTTAGGTACGTTAAAATTTTGAATGGTGGTTTAACAATAATATCAGTTACGATATGTAGCATCGAAGGGATTTCGGATCTATGTTATTGCCTTGTAGTCCAATTTGTACCGTTCGAAATCTTCATGCTGTTAAATTTTCTACTCTGTCAACGGAAAGAACCATTATTACAAATCTCACTAAAGTCTGACATTGATGTCACAAAACTTTTAGCCGGTGAATTTATTAGAATAACGTAATGGAAATTGATTGTTCATATGTAATCATGGACCACTAAGATAAATGTTATATCGTTAAATTAAAGTCGTGTGAATAATTTAATATCTTTAAAAGATCGATCGGAATATTTGATATCTTCAAACATTTCATCACTGCTAATCAGCTCTTTCGCTATTTATCACTGTAGATTTGGTTGATTTGCATTGTCGACTATTTTTCATGAAAGAACAATGGAAGGTAGGGTCTCCAACGTTTATATTCGTTTATGGTTGTATTCATTTATGTTCGTGTTCGTTTATGTTTGTGTTCGTTTATTTTCATTTATTTATTAAATGAACGAACATGAACAAGTTATATTCCTTAATAAACGAACATGAACAAAAAAAAATTTGTTTGTTTATATTCGTTTATTTATTAAATGAATGAACATGAACATACCTCCGTTCGTGTGCGTTCGGTTCGTTTACAGGCCTAACCCTAGTTCTAAATCTATGGCTATTTAGCACTATGTGTGAAACTCATATTCAGACATGAATAAAAAAGGTCATCCAAATCCCTCTAAACATATAGAAAAACTTGGAACAAGTTGACCATATCCATACCCAAAGCACTCACATCCGGGTGTGTAGGTTCAACATTCCCGGTTCATAGCAACCAAAAGAACATATGTATACGACATCCATACTAAATGCTGCTTTCGAACCCCAGTATCGCTGAGAAATAAACTCGATAATATAGCAATAAGAAAAATACAATATGTCACTCAAATTAATGCTGTCTCTTACTATTCATATAGGTTTTCAAATGCAGAAATTCGAAAAATCATGGCACGGGACCAATTCATTTTTTACCATAATCAGTTCAGCTCAACCGAACAAACATAATCGTACCTCAATCCATCTATAAAAACCGCAACATGAAGAATACTCCCATATGAAAAAAAAAATTCAGGAGGCTACCTCAGATATTGCTTGAAATCCTTCACTACTAGCTCGAAAAGGCCACATTCTACATCTCTTCATTAACTAGGAATGAACTGATACGTGTTCTAATGATAGATTTGTTATGGAGTCAACATCCTCTAATCGTTGTCTGAATCTTCTATCTGGTTTCCTCAAAGTTCGTCATGTTCCCGAGGTTGTTCTTTGTTCAACAAATCTAGTTTATCTTGCAGCTCCTATCACAATTAAAATTTACCAAACCGATTAGATTATGTCGAAGCAGTAGAGAAGAGAATTGCATCACCGAATTCATTACAGTTACTGGTTATTACCTTCAGCTTATCTTTGAGGCAAAGAGCTGGGGTGGACAATATAGCTACATATCTGCCATGACAAACTAAATTTTAGGAGAACAACACGTGCACACATGCATGGACGCACAACACACATGGAAAGGGAGAGAATCTTACTCGCAACGGCTTGGTTCATCAACATCGGTGATCTCGTTTTTCAAGCCGCATCTTAATTTCACCTGAAAGGAAGACATTTTATAGAGAACAATTACAACAATTTGATAGTCAACATCAGTATTCATTCTCGTCTTACTTTTGCCTACATCTCACTCGTGTAATAGTCCAAAATAAAATTGGAAAATAAAACCATATCAAAATTTAACAGCCCTGATCATTGGAAAAATATATGCAGACAAGGGTTATTTGAGCGACAACAAATCAGAACATGGAAAAACCATGTAACGGGACAGTACCTTCATGCTTCGATCTGGGCCATTCCAACACTTATCTCCATTTGAAAACACCATCATCTTGTTTCCGTCCTCAAATTTGTCCCAACGTCTAGTATAACCCAACAAAAAAAAACCACAGAAGTACAGTGAATATGAAACTTGCAAATGTTCAGTTGAAGAGAATTATGAAGGTATCCTACACGCATTCATCCATGCACACATGTTTGACATAGGTGGTTTCATTTATTTTTCCAGAGTTTTTTCCTATATTTAGAGAGTTGGAGCTCAAAACGTGTGATTTCACATATGAGCAGCGCAAGGGAACTGCAAGGCATGTACAATAAACATGCACAAATAAGATATCACCATACTAGCTACAACCTGGAAAACTACAGTTCCAAACAGATCCCAATATATCCTAGGAATTCAAAGCAGCAGGTGAGTAAATAGATCAATAGTTCTCCAAACAATGATTGATTAGAAAGCTAAGAGATTCAGCTCTAGCATTGACTTCCCATGGTAACAATAAAAGGTTTGATAATCTCACAGTTGAGAAAAAGCAAATAGATTTCATATGGTACATTCTATCCCTTCTCATCCCAAATGACACCTTAACTTTCCACTATATAAAAACAATGTTTCTATCAAGAAATTGTTTTCCATAGTCTAGACGGAAAAATTTTAAACTCCACAAGCAAGATTAAGAAATTGCATTTATTAATTAATTAGTTATTTTTTTAATATTAATAAATATACCTTATACCACACTTGTCAACCCTTTAACCCTATAATGGAGTCAAAAATGTATGAGATATTTTTCTTTATATCAATTAGAGAACAAAATGATTGCAAGAAACCTACCCTAAATTGGTTTTTGAGTAGCCCTCCTCTTGAGAAGCTTGCTTGTATGGGCAAACTTTGTAAACATACCTGAAGCCAAAGGTCTCAGTCATTAAAAGTGAAATAAATGGAAATTATTATTATAGCAATAATTTTGTTTGACAATCTATGCAACAGAGTATGTACTGCAACAGGTTCTTAACTTGTTTTGCTTGATCTCAAAACAACGATCATAAAACGCATAGAACTCCTCCTTGGGTCCTGTAATATTAAACACAATTTCAGTTTATTGAAGCCAAAGCAATACAATTCTTTTTCACCGCTTAAGTCACTAAAAGAGTTTACTACATACCAAAATCATGTTTGAGCTTTTGTGTCAAACTTGATATCCTAGATTGTATTTTAGACAACTTGGCACTGGCTGCATCATATTCCTTGCGTATATGAGCTGCATCTGAACAAGTCAAACATAAAAGGTTGCTCATTTCCATATGCTCACTTAAATTTTAAGTAGTAAACAACGGTGGGAGTTCAGCATATACCTGATATATTCACTGGAGTTTTGAATACATTAACAGCATCAAGAACATTCCTAAACGTTCTTTGTATCTTCTCCAACCAAGACTGGTTATTTGAGGAGCTTGTTTCTAACAACATATTTAAGAATAAGCTTAGTGATTGCATTATCCCGGCTTAAAATGAAATATCAACCAGAAAAGAATTGCACACCTGACAAGTAAGATTCATCATCTGTGTCATATTTGTACGAGGTTGAGTCATCATGATTCTCCTCTTCATAACCTTCATCCGGTTCATCATCTACATCATCTATACTATCATCATACTTTCCAGTTTCCTCCTCCTCACTATCAGAAGCATAGCTGTCATATTCTTCCTCATCATGTTCGTCCTTATGAGTTTCTTCATGGCTTTCATCAGTATCATGTTTTGTTCCCCCTTGATTCTCAGTACTTTCCCCAGTCCAACGGGAAGTAATACGACGACCTAACTCTTCCCTCGACAATGCCTCTGTAATTTCAGATGCATCACTCTCCTGCAGACACCAGAGAGCAATTACGTCGATGACGAAAGATAGAGTACCTCAGAAACTTGTCAAGTTCGTGCATGCGCAGAGTATTGAGAAACTCTTTGTACGGCTGCTTATTCTAAAAACTATACACTGGTGAAGTAAAATGTACCGAAGTAAAAGCCCTAAAAGAAAACTGTACTTCATAATTCACATATATTGAAAACAGAAAAAAAAAATGTTACCCATGCTTATTTTCATCCTTTCATTCTCAATCTCAGACCCTTTCTTAGCCCTACAACAGAAAATTACAGAAGCTTCTACTTGTATGAAGTAGTATAGAATCTAGAACATAACCAAACATATTAGCTGATACAGTGGATCTTGAATCAACCTGCTTCTACATCAACTCTATCATAGAGACAATTCAAAGAAACAAGTTTTGCAGCAGTGCAGGATAACATGTTCACAATTAAAACCAAAATGTCAGCTAACAATTTACTATATACCTCCTTCTGAAACCATAATTAATGATTTCATCTTTCTTTGTCCTTTGTGAGTTATTTCTGAGACCACTAATCTCCTGCTTCTAATACAATTTTTGTTTATTATTTTAAATAGCGCAACCATGACCCTTGGGTAAGTAGATAAACTATTCAATAGAACTTTTCCAACAACATGCTTCAATTTCTTATTTCTGGAAAGCAACTTAACGAGGCTTATCCCTCAAGACCAATCTGACAACAATTTCTTAAATAGATTACAGCATAATATCCCTATAAGCTTTTGACAAAAAAGGAAAGCTGAGTAGTAGAGTAAATTACTGTTTTCTTGTCTTCACCAGGTGGTATTTTGCATCCGGCATCTTCATCAACTTCAGGTGACACCACAGAATCATCATTGTGTCTTGGTGAAGAAGACTCATGCTTATTTTCTAACACATGCTACAAAACAAAGCAAGAACATGCCATTGTCTAAGATAGAACTTGAAAAGACAAGCATTCCGGAGGTTATATGTGAAAGAAATGACCATTATAATATACCTCCTCTCCCTTATTAAGAGGAACTCCTTCGTTTTTGGAAATATCACTGTTTTCAACTTTGTTTGATGGATCACCCTCATTAACATCTACTTTAGGGTCCTGCCAAAGGTCAATAATGACAAAAACAATAAAAAAAACAAACAGAAGTAATAAAATGTGCACTCATGTAAAGATAATTCAAGAGAAAATTAAAAAAAACAACCTAACCAACCTCATTTACAGAAGAATCCTCAATGTTACCAATTTTATCATCATCTGTACTTTCTTCGTGTTTGTCTTCACTGCTAGCTTCTTGCTCAACTTTCTCATTTTCCACCTTTCCTTCCTCCTCAGCTTTCCCATTTTCTCTTAAAGCTTCCTCAGCTTTTCTTTTCTCATTTTCTTCCTTCTCTTTTTGCAACCTTTCTTTCTCCTCTGCCTTCTCTATTTGTTCTTTTTGTTCTATACAAGGTAAGCAAATCAATTATGTTGCAATAAGCTCAAATATTAACAGGTATAACGAAAAAGTAGGTACAATTTGTCGACCCTTAGGTAAAGTTTTAACAGAACATGGATGAAAACTTGATTATTTGAACCCTCGACATTGCATAAAATGCAGGTGCAATTTGAAAAAATATAAAACTTTAATGCATAGTTTTAATTGTAATGTTTGTTTGATATATAAAGCCTGCAACTAAGCTCTGTAAAAGCACTAGATGGGTTTATGAAAAAAGAAAAACACAATTTCTTTATGGATTGTCCTTGAAATGGTCTGGAAAAGGAATAATATAAGATGTTTTAGTCAGAACAAATAATATCATGTTGTCAGACAATAGAAAATGTTGACTGCTTCTAGCTACTTCACATTTTCAATACCTTTTAACTTGAATTATTCAATTGTTTAGCACCCTAATGAATAATCCGTCACAACAAAGAAGGTAAAATCTTTGAAATTTTATTTTTGATGCATTAGTAGTAAGAGTAAATGCTGATTTACTTTATTAGAATTGAGAGCAATTTATAAATACACCTTATAAAATCATAAACACCATATTAAGGCCATACAAAATTTGGGATTTAGTATTGTGATGATATTTTCTATTTACACATGAGATTATTTACTTAATAGACAGATGAGAAAAACAATGAAACGAAACACTTCAACAACATTCTTCACAATGAGCTTCGGGGACAAAATGTTGTTTCAGGTAAACGTATGTCATGCCACATATGAAAGAACTTACCTTCTTCACATAACATTTTAGCGTCATTGGTCATGAAAAAACTCACATCATAAACAACCACAATAGAAAAACAAACAAAACACTTCAACAACATACACATGGAATCGAAATCAGACTTAAGTACAAGATTGTCACATCCACAATGATAACACGACAAGTAGGAAGGAATCTTCAGAAGAAAATGTTACCTTTAAGCTGTTCAACAATGTCCTTCAATGATTTCTCCTCGTTTTTAAGCTTTGCTAGTTCTGCTTCATCTTTAGCTATACCTACTTTAGCCACTTCAATTTCCTGCTCTCTCAACGTAATCCCCTCCTTATAAGTACTGATTTTTTTCATCAGCCTGTCTCTAGCCACTTTACCAGCCTCCCAACACGTATTGGGGCACTTCACTTTACCATCATACTCATCACTCCCATCACAACAATCTGAAGATAAAGTGCAGTGAATAAAAAGCAATTCAAAGGGGACATACAAAAAAAGAGTTCGTTATTGCAAATAAATAACATCAGCCAATTTCTACTAATGAAGTGAACTTACCGCAAATGCCATCATTGACTCTAGAGGAAAAAAAGAATTGCGAAACATGTCCAGCATTTTGGCAGTAGAATTTTGCAGCCGGGCAGGCGGATGTACCTATGAGAGAGAGAAAATGAAGGTTAAATAAGGAAGATGGCTTATACCCTGTTGAACCCATTAAATCAAAAGGGGGGAAACCAGGTTCATCTGTGCCGTCAGGACAATCGCAGAAATCATCATTGAGCTGAGATTTGGAGAATTTCCCGGATCCGTCTTTGCATTTAATGATATCCGATGATGATTTGTAGTAATTCAAATCTGGGTATCATTCATATCAGCAATTATCAGCATAAGTAAGCGATACAAGGAGAAATTCATTGGAAGATCGTTAAAAAAAACGGAGAGATTGTTAAAGACCTTGAGGAGAAATTCCATGGAAAGGGTGCTTAGGAGCATAGGAAGATGATGATCTAAGAAATGAAGCTAAGAAAAATACAAGGAGAATGAAAATGTAATATGATTTCATCTTTCTAATGCAAAAAACCTCAATCAAAAGCTTTCACAAAGCCAGTCGGAGAAATATACTAGTCGTCTTCAACAGCTTCCAACTAGGGATATGTCACGGGGCTTTGTCAGGGCTTAAAATGTGAAAGACGTGATTTTCGGGAAGGAAACGACATCGTTTGGTAAGAATCTAATATCACTCGAATAATTAATCTAATATAATTATAATTTTGTTTTAAATATTTTATTTTGTTTTAACTTTATGGCTGATAATTTGAATATTGTATAAATAAAATATTTACCGCTCAAGATTAAATATATTTAATTACAAGCAGTATAAATCTAAAATTATGAATTCATTATGTTAATACTTATTTAGGGATGAATTTGATATATATTGTTAGAATTGAGCGATCTAAGTTCTTTTTAATCAGGTTAAAAATTCATTTTGAATGGAGGTTACAATGAGATTTGTGGGTGCGGTTTATTTCTATAAGGGTGACCACTCGATTTAACTTGAAAATTTTAATTTTTTTTATTTAGAGTTAATACGAATTTCAATTTTGGTTTTTGAATTCGAATTTACCTATTCAAAAAAATCAAATTTGCCTGTTTTATAATTTAATATTTGAATTCTTTATTTCTTTTTTTTTCATTTTAAGTCTAATTTTGATTGATACTTACGTAGCTTTAAATCTTTTTTTTGAAAATCAGTTTCTTATTTTTTTTCAATTTATTCCTTATTTCTTCAATTACTCTCTCATTTTAAATCTATTTTTGATTAAATTTAAATAACATACTCCATTAATATTATCGGATACCTATGTAGCTTCAATTTTTATTATTAACAATAAATTTATCCTTTTTGACACTTTAGTTATATTTCATTTAATTTAGTCATTTGATTGGCATTCTTTTTGTAAATTTTTTTTCTTATCATTATTTCTTTTGACTCTTTTATACTCTTCTCAATAAATTGTCTTAAAAAAACTCTTTTTAAAAACAACATTATAAATATTTTATAATTTTAGATGTAATTTGATTTATTAAATAATATTACCAATTTACTATTAAATTTAAAGAAAAACTCAAAACTGGATTTCAAAAAAATCAAATGAAATTTTAGTTATAAAATAACACTCGTGAACTTAATTATCTCAAAAAAATAGACTCAATTTGATTGAATACTCATCTATACATTTCTTTGGAATTTGAACTTGATAAAATATCAAGGCATTGGTGTCTGTCGTTCATGTATGCATGCCTACTCATAGTCAGGGGCGGGCCTAGCAATTTATTATAGTGGGAGTTAAAATAATTTTCATTTTCTATAAATACAGTTGCCTGGTAAATTTTTCTTTCTTTGTTTTTTAAAAAAATATTTTTTTAATATTTATTAATACTTAAAAAAATAATTGGTTGTGGTCAAGGCTCCTCTTGGCCCCATAAAGGTCCGTCTCTGCTCATGGTTGAACAAGTTCTAGGGAGACCATGCTTTTCTAACCGACCTCTTGTTAGTTTGTGTAGAAACTTTCATTCATGTTGAAAATTTGACCCGTCATTTGAGATAAAATTTATATTCGATCTGACATAAATATAAATATAAATATTTCAATCATTAAGATAATTTTATATATTTATTTTGATAAAAGAATAATTTAAATATTTAGATGAAAAATATATATTTTACCTACTTATCTATTATATAAACCTTTTATAAATAAATATAAAATGCTTTGCAAATGATGCTATTTTTAAAAGCAATATAAGAGATAGGCCCAAACCCAAACAACAAGATATTAGGATTCTTTAGGGTTTTTGTCCATGGAGTTTTCCACTCTATATAAACCCTCATATCCCGTGCATCGTTTGGAGGCAATGGCTTGAGGAAGCTGCCGATTTAGTTTTTTTCTCGTGTTATTTTTTTATTTAAATCACAAAAATTTCTGTGTTTGATTCAATTCTGTGTAGCAAAGGCCTATAGTAATTGCAGTCCTTTGATATTTGTAAACAGGAATGGATCAGGGGATCTATCGTTAGGTCAAAGAAAAGGTTCGCTGTACCTGTATACGCAGCTTTCCTATGTGTATACTCTCCCTTTAGCTCTGATTATTCTTTTTCTTCTGGGATTTATCGGTGACATGGTAGATACATTCCTTCTTTATTCTTTGATTTTTTAAGAGAAATGGAGGAAAATAGATTAGAGGATGATGAAAACAATCAGACGGATTCCCATTGATTTATTCCATGAGAACAGTACCAGCTACTTCTGACTCTTTAGCCTTTTCCTCCCTTTTTTTATTGAAAAAATTAGGTTTTTTAAATAGATGTAAATTTAGATGCATGTGATGTGAGAAAATATTTGCTACTCTTGATGGTATGTATTTCCATCTGATGATTATTTCCACCAAGATCTCTGAGGCTCTTTTGATTTTCTCCGCAAAATCTTTCTAAAGTAAATTTAGTTTCTCGATTCAGATTCGAACAATTTTCAAAAAAATTTTGAAAGAGGATGATGAAAACAATCAGACGGATTCCCATTGATTATCCCATGAGAACATCACCAGCTATTTCTGACTCTTGACTATTTTCGCCTTTTTTAGAAAAATATTAATTAAATTGAAAAAACCTGTGATGTGATGAAATATTTGCTACTCTTGCTGGTCTAAGAAGTGCCCAAGTATTTTGATTTGGACCCGAGAATTTTTTGTACAATGCCTCGAGTCTACTTTTCCTCGGTTGTTGAGTGGAATTTAACCTAAGGGTTTCACATAATTTCTGTTGCATATCAGAAGATGATTTTCTTATACGTTAAAAAGGAACAAGAGGGAGAGACTACGTTAGATAATTTTTCGAGTCGAGGGTGAATTTGAATATGGTTCTGAGTTTTTTGGTTATATGATGTTGTGTTTTGGTCGAAGTTCATTAATTAAAAAGTAATGGAAAATCCTTGACACACATGCACGTGTGTGAGATGAACAGGAAAGTGTATACACATTCTCGTACAAATGTATCACTGGCAAAAGAAACTAATATATGAACTTCAAAAACTTAATACAATCTCCTTTCTTTGATTGTTTTAGCTTTTTCTGTAGCGATCAAAACCCTATATTGCAAAATATAATAAAACTAATTAACACTAAATGATAATGTACTTGAAAGTGTAATGCTTATAATATATAATGGATTTGTTGATTACTCGAAACATTTTTGTGAGAAGCAATTCTATTATTTCTTAATCAATTCAATGTATTATTTTTTAATTTCAATATTATTTTAATTGTTTTGAGAAGTTTTCTATAGTTAGCTGTGGTTGATTAAACGTTTAGCTAGAAGTACATGTATGTGTAATTTATTTGTGACAAGGATTGCATGACTAGTAGCTGGAGAAAAAGGGCAGACCCAAGGAATAATGATAAACGAGTGGGTTTTCTTCTCCACCTTCCATTCTTATATTTGGAGGGATGGAATGAGATGGTCTAAAATAGATTCAAATCTGCCCTTAACTCGGAGAACTATCTAAGTGTAGTCTCTCCCTCCTTTGTTCCTTTTTAACCAATGTATTGGAAAACCATCTTCTGATAAATGTGTGTGGTTACAACAGGAATTGTACGAAACTCTTAGAACTATTTAACACCTGCAAACAGTAAACTCAAGTTATTGTATCGAAAATTCTCAGATCTTGGGGAAATGATCACGTACGATAGATGTAATATATGGTTAAAAAAAGATATTATCGGTTTTGTTATTATTTAAATAAGAAAATCGGTAAAAAATTATCGAAAACATTATTATTTTTACCAGTTTTGTTATTATTGAGTACTTTACCGAGTTTGGTAATATATCCGGTAGAAAAATAATGTTTTAGATAACGTTTTATCATATATATATTATCAAGTTCGGTAAAATGACTAATAATAATAAAATTGATAGAAATAATAATATTTTAAGTAATTTTTTTTTTGGTTTTGTTAACAAAACCGATAGCACTTCTTGCATTGGAATCACTAAAAATATATTTTTGTTGAAAAGTAGAATGACATGCTTAAGAAATAAACTAGCCCATCAAAATCTTGTGTACATGGGTCCGTCTAGATTTGTAAGATAAGATTTTAGAACTGGGAGTAGAACAAAAAAAAAAAAGGGGAAATAGATATAAATTAGAAAATTGATAAATCAAATGAGAAAAATTTAATAGAAAATGCAATGTCACCATTCTGTTAGCGACTTAACGGATAAGTGATAAAAAAAATTTAATGTATAAAGTTCAGTTATTAAATTGAATATGAACTAATTTACCTCAATGGTTAAAGGAATTGTTGTTGTTCTTAGAGGCTATGGGTTCGAGCATTGGCGACTGTAAGGGTAAATGAACATTCTTTGTCAAATGGTTGAGAGTATTTGAAACAAATATTAATTTGCAATCAGCTTAGTTTTATAAAAAATTATTAATTGAAAATTTTTAAAGTTAAGTGGTGATTTGTGTAGTTTACTCTTATAAAATCAAAGTTTAAGGTTTTGTTTAAGATAAAAAGAGTTAATTACATCACATGGCCTCAAATTATTATTCTCATTTTAAATTAATTCTTAAACTTTATAACAATTCATTTTTATCCTTCAACTATGATTATTATTTTAAATAAGTCCTTATACTTTTGAATACATCAGTTCCATCCCTAAGTTATGACTTTTATTGTAAATTGATTCCCAAACTTTTGAACATTTTAATTTCATATTAAATCATACATATATACTAATCACATCCATTATTAATATAAATAATTGGTCAAGTTATATTATTATATGTTATTTTAAAAAAATAGGTATAATTGAATCCAATTACATATTTGGATGAATTTAAGGATTAAATTAAAAGATTCAAAAGTTTAAAGACTAATTTAAAATGAGTCGTAATTTAGGAATATGATTGAAATATTTAAAAGTTTGGAAATCAATTTAAAATATGAAAATCATGGTTTAAAGATAGGGTATTTAATTAAAAAAAATCAGTAACTGAAATTTCAATAAAAATAAACGTTCGAATATAAAATACTTTATTTTACATAAAATACTTTAATTCCATTTTTATCAATATTAAAAAAATTATAAAAAGATTATCATATCAATAGTTTTTAATTTTTTTTAACGACATATGACTAAAACATAATAAAAATATGATTATAAATAAAAAATAATTAAATGATCAAACTAAAATCACGAAAATAGATTAGTAACTAAATACATAGTTTATTAAGAAATTATGGTTTCCCATAAAATTTAAAAGCAAAATTGTAGAGTGGCCCGACCACCGGAGTGACCGAAACGTCTACGCATGGCGTTCAATCATATCGGCATTCAATGAAATTAGGACCACATTGCAAGTTCCATAAACATTAAAGGATGGAGAATGAAAAATCTAATAGCATAAAACGAAGTCGTTCTGAACAAGGCTCGTTCTTCATTTTTTTGTCGTCGAAAGAAACAGACAATACTGCATGTAGGGATCAACCCGAACCCGATGGGTTCCGACCCGACCCGACAGGGTCAAACATTTTTTTAAAAAAAAAATCGGGTTCGGGTCGGGTCAGATTTTTTTAAATGCACTGTTTATATCGGGTTAGGGTGAAAAAAATCCGAGCCGACCGACCAGAAAAATATATATAATTTTACCCTATATATTTAGAGATAATTACAATAATATCCCTCTATATATAATTTTTTCAATTAAATCACTGTTTTTATTGAATAAAAATATTTTTTTTATTATTTTGGGTCGGATTTCTAAGTCATATATTCGGGTCGTGTCGGGTTAGGTGAAACCTTAATTTCGTCGGGTCGTGTCGGGTCAGGTGAAACCTTAATTTCATCGGGTCGGGTCACGGGTGAAGGACCCTTTTTTCTCGGGTCGAATAACCCAAAAACCCAACCCGACCCGACCATTGCCATCCCTAACTACATGTAAACATAATAATAATTGGAAAAGGAAAGAAAAAGTAATAAAAATAGAGAAGCGAACACTTAGATAAAAACCCTAAAAAAACCCAAACACTAGTAGAAACATGTCCATTCATAGAATGCCTTCTACACTCCCTCACCCCCAACCAACAATGGATTATTCACTTCAATGTGGTCCCATGGTTCTGTGATCTATGGTAATTCTAAACCATCAAAAAGTTCAGTTTAAATAACACATCCTCTGGCATCATATTCTACAAGAGACCGCCGCAAACCGCCGCAAGGGCATTCACAACAAGGCTAGCAACCGTTCAATAAAACCTTCTCAACGTTTTGGGTATCTCCGGATTTTGTTGCTAAACCGTTTTCCAAAACAATTACATCCCCGTTTGTTGCTACATCTTTCTTTTCATCTGCTGCTCATGCAGGCAGCTTTCCTTCCCACACCTGTAATTTTGCGAAACTGAATCAGACGAATTTTTCATGGATAAACAAGCACAGATTTGTAAAAGAAAATGAAAATTTTGGCCGTATAATGTCTTGCCTGCTTTTGCAACTGATGTTTAGCCTTTGTCTCCTGGATTGCTTTCTGGCGAACCTCGTAAAATTCAAAATCATCTAAAATGCAAGTTTTGCTGGAATGCTCCTTGAAGATTTTGAGCAACTTATGCCCTTGCTCGAGCTTGATCTGCACAAACCAGACGAAGGTTACTTTTGGACTCGGTAAAGAAAAAAAGAGAACTCTTTTAGGAACAAAGAATACCTCTTGTGTATCCCTGCTATTCGTGACGGGCTTATTCTCATTGTTCTCTAGGGTAATGTGCTTCAAGGAGTTGTTAGGTACATCCTTAACAATGTGCCAATTTAGTGGGAAACAACCAGTCCACTTGTCCTGTTGCCAGAATTCTACGTTCTTCTGAAAATCGACAGGCCCTACCATTTCAGCAAGGCCAACAAATTGTCCACTTGTATTGACCTATAAAAGGTTACGAAATTTCAAAGAAATTAAGCGCGGCAATAGTCTAGGAATAAATTGTCAGAATAGATAAGATGAGATAAGACACTAACCGAGAAGAAAAGAAATGTAGGGCAGTGAGCAGATTTCTGATTAGCCTCCTGGTAAGCTGCATCAAGCTTTTTGTTACCGTTTGGTGTGCTAGCCCAAACATTGTACTTGCTTTTATGCACATCATCCTCGCTGTATGATTTAATAACAAAGAACTTGGCATCGTCGAAATCCACGGGGAAATCCTCTCGGTTATATTGTTCACGGTCTGGAACAATGTATTCCTTTTCTTTCTCCTCATCCTTGGTTCCATTTGAGGAAATATTTTGCCCCTCCGTAGCTGCTGAGACAGGAGTGACACCCTTTTGGTTCTTAGGTCCCCTGTTCAATTCATTAAAACTGTCCATGATATCATTGACAGAACCAAAGTAACCATTGCCTTGTCCCCTCAGTCCATTTGTTCGCATATCATAACCATTAGATCCAAAGCCTATTCCAGATCTGAATGTGCTACCATACTGGCTATATGGTTTGTTGGGGTACATCCTATTAATATAACCATGTGCAGTGCCCATGCCGGACATTGGCCCAGGATGCTGCAGTCCCTACAGATTCAAAGGTAAAATCAATAGAAGCAAAATTATAGAAGAATGACACCTAAATAACTAATTTAAAAAGAATCAATTTACTTTTTATTATTATGGATTGATGGTTTAATACTTTTTGAGGCCTCAAACTTTAAAAAGAAGTCAATATGTCCCCTATATTTTTTAACTTAAATCTTTTAAACCTATGGAAATAATCAATATGATCTTTTGACAGAACGAAACTATCATTGATCATTCCGTATTTACATCATAACAATCAACAATAATTTTCATTGGTTAAAGGATAAAATTGATTAAACTTTTAGGTTTAAAGCCTTAACTAAATAAAAAAAAATTCTAAGAAATACTTTGATACTTTTCATAAGTTTGAAAATCTTAAGAACCATTAAGCCTAGACTTATTCATATTCTTTACATAAATTTAAAATCAATATATGTCCCATTGTTTTATTTTCTCAATTAATTTCCATATATTTTCTTGATCAACTATCTCGATTAAATTTTTATAAATTAATTCTTTTGTCAACTTTATATTTAGTTTCACTTAATCAATTCAAATATTTTATTTAATCAAATTTATTATTAAAATATAAAAATATAACTTCAAATCTATAACAAAAAAAACAAATATATATTTTATTTGATAGTCGGATTATGTCGGTTTAAAATTCTTATAGCTTGATAAAATATATAAATATATTAGTACATTGAATATAATAGAAATTTAATATGATTGCTTAATTATATGCATTTAATGACTGTTTTATAGTGGTTCAATAAAATTTAGTGATATTTGTAATTTTTAAAAGCTCAGTGACCAAAACCATCATTTTAATATAGTTCAGTGATATCTTATATACTTTACCCTAAAAAAATTAGTCATAAATGTTCTTTAATCCGTTTAAAATGTTTATGCTCTTTCCACCATAAACCCTACATTGAATGCTCAAATAAGGGCAATAAATAAAAATAAATATATAGAAAGGGAAAAGAAAAGGTGTTATAGTTCAAGTAGTAACATCCTACCATTAATGTGAAATCTTCAGAACAGGGAAAGCAATGACATCTCGGATGCTGGCGGAATCCGTCAAAAGCATCACCAACCTATCCATTCCGAGTCCCTACGAACAACCATTTTCAACATCAAGTTTTGTCGGTGAAACACGAGGATGAAAATTAAATACAAGTCCCCCCACCTTAAAACCCAGAACAATACTCCAATAGCATACAGATAATACACATGGATCCATGTATGTCCGTATGTATGTATGTATGTGTGCATGCATATCAGCTTGCTAGGGATGAACTAGAAGTACAGATTAAGTGCAACAATATCAATCCAATCCAAAAGGCATATTTGGAAGTCATTAGTGAATAGTGCATTTGGGGCTCGATCATAACCCAGCATGTATATGATCAAGTGGAACCAATTATTATCGACAAATTCAACAAAGAATGATTAATACCAATATCTGCAAATGAGAAGATGATCGTACCATTCCCAAAGCCGGAGGCATTCCATATTCCAAAGCAGTAAGAAAATCGCCGTCAAGAGTCACTTCGTACACGGAGTCCTCGTTTTTATTCTTCTGTTCTACCGTGCCATCTGTGACTGAAACAGCTTCTGCTTTCTTCTTGTTATGTTGTCTTACTTGCTCTTCCAGGCGGGCCCTCTGCCATCATGGGTAACAAATGCAAATTTCATAGCTCTAAAGTTAAAAACGAAATTGGAAGTCACAGTATCTCGTAAATTGTACCCCAAGAAGACTCTTCAACCATGCTTTGTACCTTCGAAGCCACTGAATGGGCTATAAGGTTTTGTCCGAGATACAAACGAATAAGCATCTCAAGAAAGCCGAGCGAACAGACTTTTGCATCATTAACAAAAGTATTTTAAAGTCGCAGCTATCTCGAGGGGCTATCTTTATATAACAAGCATAGGTGTCATCTATATATAAGTTAGATGTCAGGCAATGCAAAAAGTACAACAGCTTCCGCTGATGGTATAAATATGGAATAATGCAAAAAGTAGGCATATTTAGCATATTAAAAATTAAAGCATCATTATTACCTGGTCCAAAGGGTCAGTTAATTCCGAGAATGCATTGGCCAGTTCCCGACCGCATATGAAGAGTTCAAATCTCTCAGTCAAACCTGCATGCCTATTTTCCAGAGTACTTAGGGGAAGTAATTCTGAATGTGAAGACAACAATATGAATAAATCCACACATAAAACTGCACCAGTTCCCTGTAGAACTTCCATACCTCCTGTGTGGTTTGGCAAGTTTAGATTTCAATGGGATAGTCCAAAACAAATGTAGGTTGCAAGAGCTTCGGTTCAACGGAAATTTCAAAAACCTGAAAGTGATAAATGAACCAAAGGCTTAATGCAACTAGCAATGAACAATTACTAGAAACAGTCTTAGCAAAATAATCGAAATCAGCATATGGTTCAAAAAGTACCCACCAATGGATTAATGTGCAACGAATTTCCCTGAATTGCTCGTCTAGAGAGATGAGAAAGAGGTGAAACAGAAAATGCATTTCCTTTTGTGAAATCTATTCAGTTTTTCTTATACTTCCATTCTTATTGTGCAAATAACTTTCTGTTGCATCATTTTGCAGTTCACTGTATACGGAACTAGCATTCATGAAATATTAAAGAAGATAGACCTCAATAAGGAGGTTCCCAAGTGAAGGGCAGGCTTCAATAGAAGACTTGTCCTTGCTATCGAGCCCAACTCCAATTGCCTTCAGAACAACCTCTTTAGCAACTTTAAGATCATCTTCCAGTTCAGTGAAATCAATACCGGTGACCTCCTTAATAAGATTGTGCATGGTTTCTCTCCTCCATGGCCGCTGCAATTGTATCTCAGTCCCCTGTACGGAAGGCATACATTAGTAGTTCCAATGCTTGTTTCAAATAGATTTTACACAAACGCGCACACATACAACAACAACCTAGTTATCTAAAACCTCCAGAAATGAAATAAAACTATTTTTACTGGACATGAAATGCATTACCTTGTAATCAACGGTGAGCTTTCCGTGAACTGCAAGAGCACATTGGGTCACAATTTCCTTAGCCATGTCCATCATAGTCTGATAATCTGAATATGCTTCATACATCTAAAATTATTTTTAAAAAATGATAATCAGAGCTTCAGAAAACAATTTTGAAACTTGAAATCATATAAAGCATATTTGCACTGCCAAGCACGGAATCAGCATCTGACATTTTTATATATACCTCTATGGTAGTAAATTCTGGATTATGACGAGTAGAAATGCCTTCATTTCGGAATATCCGACCAATCTCATATACTTTTTTCAAATCCACCAACCTGTAATTAGGAGATATAAATATTGCTGGCGGTATAAACTTAAGAGCCAAACAATATCAGAATCGGCCACTAAGGATAAAAATAAAAAAAAAAGAGGGATGGAATGAAGAAATTGGTGTCGTCAAGCGTGCAAGATGGACTCTAGGTGTTAGATCCCTTATAATCCCAAAGGGACAAGGCCTCGAGATTCAACTGTCTTCCGTATCTCCTTCTTGATCTACCATAAGAAAGGTAAAAAAGAATAAAATTCCAAAGTGTCAAATCTCAAAACACATAGGCACCAGAAAAACAAGGCATACACACACATGAACATACATACACACCAAAGCAATCAATCCATTAACTTATAGCCATTTAAACAAGTTCAGACTGTTCCAGATCAACAACCAGATGGACCAACTATTTTTCAACTCAATAATCATTATTAACTGGAAAAATAGACAAGTAAAAGGTCAGGAAGTTAATACTTTCCTCCAAACAAGAATCTGTATTTCACTAAAGAAACATTCATGCACAATGATTGAAAAAAAAACAGACAAAAATTATATTTATACAAGCAGCAAAATCAGAAAGCTAGGCTACAGTAGAAAATTGGAGAAAAGGTTGAGGTTTGAATAAACATCCATCTATGACACTTACCTACAGTTCAATTGCAATAAAGATTATAAACTGATATCACCATAGTTTATCAAATGCAAGAAAAGTATATATTATAAGAAAAAGGGAAAATATGCAGCATAGTAATTCCTTCATAAGAACATAAACTGATATCACGATGAAGACCAAACATGTAAACCAACTGATATATAGTTTTATAGAAGATGAAATACCATACCCTAGAAGAGCAAGAAATTTTTTTCTTGGTTCGATGAGCAACCAAATGGTGATTAGAGTGTAAAAGTGACTCTAGGGACCAAATAACCAAATAATTGAAGTGTTATAAGAACAGCCTGATAGTAAGGAAAACAATAGGAGATTTTAACATCATTATGAAAAGCGGAAATACATCACCATTGCTCGTTTCCGGAATATATCGGCTACTTCAGGATTTGCAATCATATCAACATAACTAAACAGGGGAGAGGGAGGAAATATGGTCAAAGGGGAGAAACAATCCAGCAATATCAAAGAAACACAAAAAAAAGATGTATAAGGGACAAACAGTTCGTAATATGTTATATCCATAGGAATGAGTGTTTTGCTTCCTTGATGTGATTGCTAATGAGTAAAAGAATGAAAAATATTAATAAATGCAATGGTAAATGAAAGAAAAAAAACATATTAACTAATAAGTAATAAATTATGCTCATCTTTTTTCCCCTTAAGGGAAAACCATTCAGAATATATCATATCTTTTTCTTTTTTATTCCTTAAGGGGAAGAACAGTTAAAAAAATCAAATATCCAGCAACATCCATTGAGGAGCTCAGTAGGATTGGGAAATATATTTTTGAATGAGTGCATTACAAGTTGATTCACTAAAACTGGTATAATAGAAGTTGCAAATGGCAAATCACCTTTGACGGTAACGCTTATCAATGTCGGTTAAACCATGAAACTTATCCGGCGGAGGAAGTAGTGATTTAGTACGGATTGAAAAAGAATCCACCTTAACAGAAAGCTCCCCTGAACAAGTGTCTTTAACTGCTCAAATTGATCATTC